AGATGAACAGCGTCGGGCTCTTCAAAGGGCCGCCATTGTGGTTGCCACCCCTGGCCGTCTCAAGGATCTCCAGAATGACGGTTCGATTGATCTTGGAAAGGTCAACTACCTCGTCTTGGATGAGGCAGATCGCATGCTTGACAAAGGATTTGAGCAGGATATCAAGGACATCGTCAAGCCAATGCCCGTCTCCAGGAGACAGACTGTTATGTTTACGGCAACATGGCCACGGTCGGTTCGAGATCTTGCAGCAACCTTTATGAAGACCCCGGTGACTGTTACCATTGGCGGAGACCCATCTGCGGATCCCCGAGCCAACACAAGGATCAAGCAGGTCATCGAGGTTGTTGATGGCCGAGACAAAGAGGGTCGACTCGTGCAACTGCTCACTAAATCCCAGCGTGGCCATCCATCGCCCGAGAAAGTCCTGGTTTTCTGCCTCTACAAGAAGGAGGCTATGCGCATTGAGAATCTCATCAGAAACAAGGGATTCGCAGTCGCCGGTATTCATGGTGATTTGAACCAATCAGATAGGTTCCGAAATCTTGATGCTTTCAAGAAGGGCAATGCTACCGTTCTTGTCGCAACCGATGTGGCGGCGCGTGGTCTAGATATCCCAAACGTGAAATTGGTGATTAATGTGACCTTCCCCCTTACCGTTGAGGACTACGTGCACCGAATTGGAAGAACTGGACGTGCTGGGGCTGAGGGCCTTGCCATTACCATGTTTACTGAAACTGACAAGGGATTGTCTGGCGGGTATGTTACTCATATTCTCCTATCCTTTGCACAACCGCCCCTTCAGGGCAATGCTAACTGTGAAACAGATTGATCAATGTTCTCAAGGCAGCTAAGCAAGATGTGCCCGAGGGGCTGTTGAAGTTTGGAACAACAGTCAAGAAGAAGCAGCACGACGTTTACGGTGCCTTTTACAAGGACGTTGATATGGACAAAACAGCGACAAAGATCACATTTGACGATTAATTGGGTTTATTCCGACTTGGTACCTTTTCTGGAGAATCTGGAGGATAAAATGTGACGAAGCTTTATCAATTGACCCATCAAATATTCCCTTTCAATATAGATTCTGTGATTATTATTTTTTTTTTTCGTTAGGCGTTAAGAACAAATCAACATCAGATCAGATCAGAGTACTCACATGAGGAGAACATAGCTGCCACTCAAGGTACATGCTTTCATAATTCCCAATTCCAGGCCAAATCGGCCCAAGAATAAGCTCGCCAGAGCACACAGAATGAAGCTAGCAGGTCGAATGGCCACTTCACTCGTGTACAGGCTACATCCATTTCGATGGAGGTACGATTTGATAAAACTGTAACTCCAAGAGGTTCGAACCACCATATTCACAATGTTGGCCAAAACCAATCCATACGCACCCAAGTTCCCTACTTCTAGGAACATATAGGCCGCCAAGGCATAGCAGGCAGAAAAGGCACCCATCCACGCTGTTTGCTTCCGTATCTGTTGCGAATTTGCTGCAGATGACACAAACGCTTCAGTGATCCCATTAAATGCCAAAAATGGAATATAGTAGCAATAGACGGAGAGCAGGTCCCCGGTTTTGGGGGAAGTCCATTGACGGCCTCCCAAGATATGCAGCAATTGAGGAACCATCATTGGGCCTAACGGGAATATCAAGACTGACATCAACTGGTATGCTCGTAGGATATCTACGAGGTGATCTCTGGTAGTGCGAATATGAATATTCTTCAGCTTCCCGCCCTCATCGCGGCTCAGTAGTGCTGAGAATAAGTTCCGGCTGCTCTCTTCCAGTGGCTGGAAGATGATCCGTGCAATGAGCCCCCCGTAGTTGGACGCAAGAGAATATATGCCCTGATCTTCTAGCCCCGAAAGGGCAGCAAGAATCATAGTGTCGCCCTGTGTGAGTAAATGTTTCACCATAGATTGGAAAAAGACATTTGCGGCAAGCGACGTTAACTGGCGTGAGAACCGCCCCAGAAAGTAGTTAGAGGGGTCACTATAAATGGTTACTGTGTCGTTCTTTGTGCTATAGCTTGGACCAGATCAAGCCAGCCTTACCTGGATTGTATACGTGTCAATAAGAAAGAGAAGCGGGTTGTGTTGGTTCCTCTGAGTAAGGCCAGCGAGTAACCACATATGAGTGCCAGCGAGTAACTGAGGTGACCAAGAGCAAATGGTAGCACACCGAGGTCATAGTTGACTTGAGAAGCATATATGAAGGTAGAGGATGTCACCGCACTTCTCAGAAATGCCGCTGGCATTTCAACAACAGCACGTTTCTCATAAAACATATGTTGTTGCACCACCGAGAAAAAGGGCTCGATACTAAGTTCCATGAGAGCTGCAGCTCCAATCAAGATGACACTGTGGTAAAAGAAGGCAGTCTCTGATGCTTCCTCTGGGACAAAGCGCTGGTAAAGCATAGCGAACATCAGACTAGAAGGAATCCCAAGGGCGAGGCTCAAGTAGGACACGTTCACCACTGCTTGAGACGCCACAGATTGCGAATCCGCCGCTACAGCATCTGCTTCAATGGAAGAATTTTTGTCGGGCGAAGATGGAATAGGCTGTCTTTGGATGGCCATCCGAATGCTTTCCCTCGAGAAATACAGGATGGAAACCTGGAAGAGCTCCAGTTGTGCTGCTATTCCCAGTACGACCGGTGAAAGGTTGCGCAAAATCAACTGGTTTGAGGCAAAGGTAAAGATCCTGGACGCCAATTGTATCAAGATCAGAAAGCTTGTGCCCGTGGCTGACGACGCCAGAATCTTGCCCATATGGGTATCGTCAGGTTTAGCCATGCCCGTGATTTAACCCAGCTATGACAGTGAACGCAATAAGGTGTACTCAAATCAAGGAAATCAAGACTTCAAGCCGACCTCGGGAGGTGTAAGGTTCATATGGGAAGGGGTTGTAAAGGAGAGGGAGGATGTAGGATGTGAAAAACATAGGTGGGGCCTAGGTACTGGTAGGGCCTACGGGCCTCTTTCAAGGAATGGGAGAGATATTTGCCAGATGAAATAAGGTCAATACATATGTAAAAGAGGATAGTTTTCATATAGATATCTACAATAAATAAATCTAGAAATCTAGAAATCTACTTAGAATTCTACTTGGCCCAGTATACTTGCTTACAAGTAGCTTCCAAGGTCCCCTGGAGTCCTACTGGGCTAGGTATATATAGTCAAGTGTGTCTACCTAATTGTGAAATTTCATCTCAAAACAACCCTCTATGATGTTTTTGATATGCAAAAATTTTCATGGCAAAGGAAAAAGAGGCACTATAGGTCAAAATCCGCAAAGCACCGTGCTTCCTCCGAGTCGTCCTGATCCATGTCAACTTCTGTCATCATATACAGGAAGCCTTAGAGATCCCTAGCCACTGAGATGTCAATGATCGTTTGCAAACCAATATGTTTCCAGGTGTTGCCGTCTTCAGACCATTGATCAGGAAGGCTCTTGAACGTTCTAGAACGGAGGCAGATAGAATGGATAGCCACCATTCTTGGTTTTGAAGACACTGAGAAGGAAGCTGTATGTTGCAAAAAGAACAGTTGCCCAGACCAAGACAGCCAGCTGCTGACCCTTGACATCTTCCATCCGGGGAACCTTTAGTGCGAGTGCGATCGTCGCGAAGGAGAGAACGGCGTCTGTGCGACCAAAATGTTAATCAAGGAATCGGCATGGGGATAACGCCTCAGTATCAATGAGCCTCATGATTATCACTTACATATGATAGCGACAATTTGAGTCTCCATCCCGAACTGGTTCTGGAATCCACCAGCAAAATAGCTAATACCACCCTTGCCATCAGTAGCAACATATGGAACCTTTCGGATGTGGTTGAACATTTGACCACTTGTGAACAGAAGAATAGCGATAAGGCTGATTGCAGCCCAAAGGTTTCGGTTCTGGATAACTGGTAGCAGGTAGGGAGAAAGGACCGCAATCGCGGTTACAACTGCCATCAGAAGTGTGATCGCTGATACAATCCGCATGTAGTTGATGGGTCGAACTAGTTGAGGCTTAGGGCCTTCAGGCAAATGACGTCCAATCCAAGAGTAGAGCTGGTCGGCTGAGATTGGGCTGTTTGGGATTGATGTGTTAGTGAGATAGGGGCTCGGCGCAAGAGCCTTGATAGAAAAACCTACCCTGTGAAATCAAACCGGAGGGGATTCCCTTCAACCTTGGCAAAGGGACCGATGGTAGGAGGGAAGACAAGGAGTACGGGTGCAGTTTGCAGCATGAGCTGGTTAGGTTAGTCGTATGTCATATAGCTCAGTCTCGAGTACAGATACCCTACCTTTTGGAAAACAGCCTTGCCATTATCAAAGTCCAGTGTTCCAAAGACTACCTTGAGGTCATCAGGCTTGGTGCCCTTGGTCCAGCTTCGGGCGATCAGGTCCCATTCAGATTCAAAGTCGCGGCATAGGATGCAGCCAAAGCGAGGATCCGTGGCAGTCAGGATAACCACAGCATAATAATCTCGACGTGCCGAGGTGAGGTCTTCATATGATGCACTGTCCAGATCAACAGGCCCCGAACGAGACAGGGATTGGTATCTTGCAAACTTGTCCGGTGTTGAGCTCGCAGACAGGACGCCGGACACGACCGAGAAAAGGAGAAAAAGGGCCGTCCAGAGCTTCATTTTGACATTCCAAGGAGCTGGACAGCTTTAAAGAGGTTAGTTATAAAGTGCAATTGATTGAAAAATTATCAATCGGTTGCAATTGAAGATGTTTGAACACGTTGAGGTGATAAAGTCCAGGTGTCCACTATCAACGTAATCGGGGGCATATCAGCTTACTTAATATACTCGGGGCGACGCCAAAACACCGGCGCGTATCTTCCTTTTGAGACGATTTATATCATATACTTTTCCACATATCTTACCTAGGTATTTCTTTTGATCTGGACAGACATAATTTAATTTATGGGCCTTTCCCTTCTATTTTCTTATATCGAAGGGCTGCCGTCTTATTGTGGACACTGTCGTCATGGCAATGGCCAAAGAAGCATCCGCCTTAGATGTATGTGGTTTTCCTGGATTGATGGGCATTTGCTCAAGATTCTAACTTGACCATGCAGTTTGAAATGTCCATGAGAACTATGCGTCTAGAGAAGGAGTATGAGAAGACTCTTTCGGATTCCGCTCGTCTTCTGGACGGCGAGAGGGATCGCGTACGACGTATGGAGCTCTTGCTCTCAAAATTCGAGAACGAAACTCTCCGATCCCAGCTGGAAGAAGCAAATGGACATCTTTTGGGACTCACAAGTGCTGATTCGGAGGCATGTGCTCAACTTCAGGAGGCTTGCCAGGAAATTGATCATTTGGAACTTCAAGCACAGGCATCCTCGGGTGAGATTAACCGACTCAAAGTAAGTCTTAACTCGATGTAGGGGCTGGATGCATAATCCCTCATGTTGACAGCAACAGGAAGAACTCTTGGCCCAGAAAAATAGTTCGACCAGTTACAATACTGTCCTTGCAGAGAAACTTCATCTCTCCAGAGATCTTTCAACTCTACAGTCAGAGCTTGAGCGGTTCAAAGCGCAAAATGCATCGTATCAAGCTATCATTTCCGAGAAACATGAGTTGGAACGGCAGATAAACTCTCTGGAGCTTCAACTGGACAATGAAAAACATGCCCACGAACGTACCCAGGCCAAGGGATCACAGCAATTGACAGAGATCACCCAGCTCTCTGCCCGAGTTGAAGAGTTGCGGAATGAGCTAGCGGGAGAATTACGAGCCAAACAGCAGCAGGAACGAGACAACCACCGTCAGAACTCGACATGGGCCAATCAGCGGGCGGCGTTTGAAGGGAAAATCGATTCGCTCAAACAACAATTGCGGTCAACCAAGGACAAGCTCCAGGAAGCCCAGATTGAAATTCAGCAGCGACGCAGCCTCAAATCACACGCAGGAAATGACTCTGAATCCAGTTCTCGTACAGTCCCACTTCAGCGCCCTGGTCCGAGTGGCCATGCCGGCGTGACGATTGCAACCCCTGGGGCTGTTCGTGTGCAAGAGAAATTGAAGAGGGATTCGGCCATGCCTGGTGATAAGTCGGCGTTTTCCATCACTCCCTTCTTGAACCGCACAGGGGCACCTGCGGATTCGCCAATGAGCTCAGTTGGAGACGAAGACGATATTCTTGGAGATACCGACACTCCTCGTGGACCACTTGGCAAACAAAGCACTTTTGGGGAATCAAAGCGTATGGGTTCTGCCCTCCGGCGCCAGCTATCTCCAACAGAAGACCGCATTCCAAGTACCAAATTCACCAAATCAAGGGCACGTGATGGCGCAATTCCTGCCTCAGCGGCGGAAAACGAGGTCAAGAAACCAGTCCATCGCTTAGATCACAGAGTGCCATCCACTGAGACCGATGAATTACATGAGCAGTTTGAGCATGAACAGGCCAGGCCAAAAAAACGCAAACTTGGTGGTCAGCGGGATCGGAGTTTGTTCGATGAGGAGGATGAAGAAGAGCCTCAACTCAATAAGAAATTTGGGCGAAAACTTGCAATAGGAAATGGTCGGGCTTCAACGCTGGGGAGTAGACCACAACCTGGTACCACTAGTCTACCACGGGCGCTCGGTCTTGGGGCAGCTCCCATGGGATTTTCTCCCTTGAAGAAAGATCGCAGACGGTTTTAATGGATATATCAGAAGAAATATTCATTTCTATTGGTACAGACTGGTACAGACTCTAATAGTGCATTTTATAGCTAAGTTATATATGTATGACCTCGGGATGTATGAAGTAACTAGAATATTCTTAGTTAATAGATAAGAGCTGCCCTACTCAAGGGTTCGGCGGTCGTATCTGTTTTGCCGGCAGAACTAAAAAGCCTTCTTGCTCTCAGGGCTCCAATTATTTCCCCTAACATTATTCAATTCGCATTATGTTTGCTTTACGTTTAATTCGATTTTCACAAAATGCCTGTCACCGGCGAGCAATTGGTCAAGCAAGACATGCATCATCCAAGCGCTGGCAAGCCCGGCAGCAAAAGGACCAGTTCACCAGAGAGGCAGCTGTCCAAGGGCTGAAAAGCCGTGCTGCTTTCAAATTGCTGCAGGTAATCCAGCACTGAAATTACTCTATTTTTCCTGGATTGATCTAACACACTGGCATCTGTTGTTAGATTGATGAGAAATACCGAATCTTCAAGGCTGGGCAGACAGTTGTCGACTTGGTATGCTAGTCGTTCAACCTGAACTTGAATTGTTGTTTAATTCGTTGCATTTAGGGTTATGCTCCAGGGTCATGGTCGCAGGTGTGTCGGCCATTCCTCTTTTGCCTTTGACTTGCCTCCCCCCCTTTTTCTGTCAAATGGGCCGTAATTAACTGCCAGAGAAGGTTGCTGCAAGCCGTACACAACCGCATGGTCGAGTCCTCGGCGTCGATATAATCCCAGCTCAACCTCCAAAAGGAGTGTCGACAATCCAAGGCAATTTCCTTGCACCCGAAATTCAAACATACATCCGAGACTTTCTCCGCAGTCCAGACAGAGGCAGGCCGCGCCAAACCGGCTTTCTGGACGATTCCAGTGTCAGTCTATTGGAGCCGAATTCGGATACTGGATGCACTATCGAGGCAGAGAAGACAGATATGAGGGGCGATAAAATACTTGAAAGAACGGTAGATGTGGTTCTTAGCGATATGTCCGCTCCCTGGCACCAGACCTCCGGTTTCTGGAAACGAAGTCTAAGTGCTCCTTATAATAGGATGATGAACACCAGCGGTGTCAGTTTCAGAGATCATGCTGGAAGCATGGTATGAATTCTTGTTACTCAATTGATAGGTGTGAACCTCTTCTGACTTTACGCAGGATCTCTGCCACGCGGCTTTGAGCTTCAGTTCGGATGTTTTGAAGGCAGGCGGTCATTTCGTCTGCAAATTCTATCAAGGCGCCGAAGACAAAGAACTAGAGCAGCAGCTGAAGGAATTATTCAAAAAGGTTCATCGTCTAAAACCCGAATCATCTCGCAGTGTATGCTTTGCCCTACCCAATTTATACACATCCACCGACTAAAGCAATTGGCAGGAATCTAAGGAGGCATTTTTCGTTGGCCTAGAGCGAAAAACGTGAGACTAGAGCTATGTCGGACTTGCATGTCGGCAGATCACAGCGTAGCCGAAGAGCCGAATCGCGCTGTCTGCCTAAAGGATCTCGATCTCCTCATTGTCAGATGCCTCATCCCAGTCAATATCGGCGAGTGCTGCTTCCGCCTTCTCCTGAACCTTTATATGTGTCAGTTTGGGATTGAGACGTTTTCCAGACACCGACTGACCTCCTTTAGTCCACTCAATTCTTCGACATATCCATGTTCATTCAGAGCTCTTCGCACGAGGTCCCAACCCTGCTCGCGGTATGCACCGACAACTTTGTCCGAGCATGCACTGCAGCTTGGATAACTTTTGCCGGTGACAGACAAATTCTCGAAATTGGAGAGAAATCCTCGTATTTGGTGGGGCACGATGCCTAAGGGATGATCATCACGCTCGGTATTGCGGGCCATGGGGGCTGGTGCGGCAGCGCCTTGGGGGTGCTGAAGGAGTGACACAAAAAGCTCCACCAAAAGTGCAGAAGCTATAGGAGCCACTCCAGGGCGGGTCACTGTACACTGTTGGTCCAGAGTCTGATCTTTAATAGACTATCCTGCAGTCAGCTCTGTATAAAGCGGGCCCCTCCTTTGGATATTCTTACATTAGCTGGTGCTACCACATCGTTGCAGAAATAGCACCCAAGCTCGGCTGGTTTTTCATCTTTCATGACACCATGGCGCATCACCACGAAGGAATCAAACCCTAGGGCTGCATTCATCACAATTTTCCCTGCCGCCTTCCCCATCACCGTGGGCAGCCATCGTGACTCTCGGGTGTCCATAAGGAGAAAGATAGCATCGTGTTCATCAATGAGTGTTTTGAGACGATCAAAATCGGCCCTTGTTACCTCTTCGTCCACCATAGGATGGCCTGCCATGGGCACCGAGAGCGCATGACCTGTAGTCTCTACTCCTGGATAAATTTGGGTCAAGGCTTCGGATGCCCGATGTGCCTTTCGGACGCCACCGTTCAAGCAGTCTTCAAAGTTGAATAGTGGCTGCCGAACAGGGTTAGAAAATGAAACGGTCCCGTTGTCGACGAAAGTGATCTTCTTCACGCCCCACCCCTGTATAGATGATAATTAGAACATGTGTTTCCGAGCGCGGAAGTTGACGTCGACATACCAGCAGATTCCGGGAGACGTAGCTACCTAATGTACCGGCTCCTAGCAAGAGACATTTCGTGTGTTTGATTTTCTCAAGATCGAGCGTCGGGCTGATCCGCCATTTGATAAGCTTGAGGTTGAGATCGACCGACTGATCTGCTAATCTTTAGGGGGAAAAATTAGCTCCCTTGATCAAGTTTTCGGGTTGGGTATCTCCAAATTAACGCCATACCTCTTGGGATCCATGTACTCTGTAAGATTGACAATTCTCCCGGCCAGTTTCCCAGTCGAGTTACGTTCCCAGCCGGTCACTTTTGGCAGCGGCAACGACTTTGGGGTTTGCAGTGATTTCGGGGTCTGGACATCTTGTTTTGAACTTGACTCCAAATGAATTATTGTACTGCGCCCCTGATCACGTTTCGCGTGCACGTCGCGATAGCGTATCAACTGCACCCGTTCGATGCCCCATCGCTGCTTGATCAGAACGAGCAGGTTTCGTAACATCCAGCCTGGAGCCTGTTCATAATTTGATGGGTCTGAGAAACAGAAATAGCGGTCTTCAGCAGCGACATTCTTGAAAAATCCATTTTCATATTCGGAAAGTGACGCTATCTGCCAGTTGCTATTTGATGTATCGTGTTGCTGGGTACTATTCGTCTCGGAATTGCCTGAGGATACGTTATCGGAACGCTGTCTGGCTCTTCGAGCCAAAAAGAACCCTCGTTGTCGATGATCCACAATATATGACCATGTTTGCACTGCCTCCACTAAGTCAGTGCTCTCATGTGGAGATAAGTGTTTCCCCTTCAAGTTGTCAATATCATGATCCTGGTGTGGCTGGGGTACTTGATCTGATGGTTGAACAGGGACCCATTGAGGATCTGAGTGGATTGCTGGGAAAGCAAACCAGTAGTGGAACTTGTATTTTTTGAGGTCTGCAAAAGATACAATCACAAAGCTGCATAGTAAGGAGGGGCATGAAAGGATTGTGCCATCGTGAATGGCATCCCACATCTTTAAGAGTTTTTATTAGCATTATATATATCTTTCTCTCTGAGGCAACTGGTTATGGTTATTCCTACCATTTGTCCAGTTTGATGGAGCAGCTGGGATCTGTCCATGTTTCGATATTCCTCAACTGTATTGACATTTTTGATCATGCCCTCTGCCCTGTAGTGGCCAGCTGGAACCCTAGGTCGCTGTTAGAAGGGACCTTTTTAAACAATTTCGTTTTATCTTACTCGCTGCTGGTGAGGGCATTTCCATGGATTTGGATTCGACAGGACGCAGCCTCAGGATCAGAAGGACGGATCTCGTATAGTCCTAGAACGGGCCGGGCAGCGTCATCTAGTTTGTCATGGTTGATCTTATGGGAAGCCAGTGAAGTATAGAAAGGTAATTCGATGTCGGAAGCAAACGGTGTGTACTGCATTTCGGAGGAACAGATAGAAAGAGAAGAGATTATCAAGTCCCTGAATGATACAGACTTGGAAGGTTGGATGTAATCGGTAAGTTGGGGGAAGAAGTGTAAAAGGAGGTGAAAGGGTCTGATGTCACGAGGGGGGGGCTTATCGATAATCCAAAGGTTACTTACCTGTATGCTTTATAAGATCAACAATAGTGGATTTTAAATCTACATATGTGTATATATATGTGTATATATGATATCTACTTGCTAGTATATACATATCTCTCTCTACTCTATGTACATATTAAATGGATCAGGGTTACAATCATACCTCGTGAGATGAACAGCTGACCTATGCTGAACACGCGATCTACATAAACATATCCATGGATATGCCTGGGGTATGGATACTGTACACTATTTAGAATACATATAACTATACATATGTATATAATACATACCTACATAGATACTATCTCTTCGGCCTAACTTTTGGAATTCCAACTTGGGAACATTCCCTCTTAGGCCGATAAGATCAGGCCGATAAGAATCGCGTCGCGACTTTCACTTTGCTCTGCCCCACCTGGGACACTCTGCTTCTTCTGCTTCTTTTCTTTCCCACTTTCCCTCTTTTCCACAGTACAAGTATTCAACACCTAAAAATGCTCATCGGCTTATGTGGAGGTCAGCAGATAATTTGCGCAAATCAATCCTTTACCCCCACACCGGATGAACTAACGAGGGTATACACCAAAAGGCATTTGCGCTGGCAAACATGCGATTGCTGAGTACCTGATTCAGCAAGGGTTTCAGCTTCTTGAACTCGCCAGCAAATCTCAATCCCATATCTCTAACTCGGGGGATGACCTGCGACTACAAGCGTCAGAAATCAAGAAGAAAGAGGACCCCAAGTCGCCAGAACTTACATTTCAAGATCCTGACTCTCTACTCGACTTTGCAACAAAGAGATGGCAAGATCGCTGGGTTACCACAGACATTGCAGATGCCACTACCCTAGATAGATTCCTCTTGCG